GTCCCCTTGGAGGGGTGTCTTTGGAGAGGGAAGAGGGAAGCCGACCCTCCGCCTGTGCCACCTCAGCCCCCCGCAGCTCAGCTCACCTGCGAGAAGCCCCCCAGGATGATGCGATTGGGGGGGATCCCGTTCTTCATCTCATGTTCAATAATGGCTTTAACTGGAAGAAGTCGGAGAAACGGCTCAGTGGAAGGTGGGGGAGAGTTAAAAGCAGCACCCAGGGCCGGGGGGCGCACACAGGACACCCAGCACGTCAGGGAGAGGCGGGTGCCAAAGGTCCCAGGGACCAAACGCACTTGGCTTCAGCTAGGGAGAAGGTGGGCTGGGATTATGGAAGAGCAGGAAGGAGAGGTGGAAGGAAGACAACTGCTCCTGCCCCAGCAAGGGAGAGGTGCCCCGGAGCTCAGCACTTCCCCCTCCCCAAGGCTTCTTACTGTTTTCTGCAGCTTTCTTGATCCCAGCTTCGTCCTCGGGTGCGTCTGGAGTCAACCCCATCAGATCAAACCTGGGAGAGGAAGCAGGGTGAGCCCCAAACCTCTCCCAGCACACCCAGGGAGTGGGGAGGTGGGAGCTGGCTGTGCTCTGCCCTTCCCTTCCCCAAAATCCCAGTGGATTTGGGCTCTTCTTCCATCCCCCCATCCCTCTCACTCCCAGAACACACCCTCCAAAGGGTCCCACCCACCCTTGCCACCCGAAGCACTGACCAGGAGGGCATAACCATCTTCATGTTGAGGGTAACGGGGATCCGGGGCCTGTGGAGAAGAGGATTTGGGTGGTTTAGTGCAAAGGCAAGAGAAGAAAAGCCGAGCCAAGGGGAGTGGGGTGACCATTCCTCCTGCCTGGAGCCGCATGACACCTTCCCAAGGGACGGGTTGGTGCCATCAGACCCAGCCCAGGGGCTGCAAGGCAACCCCAGGGATCATCTGTGAGCCCCGAGCACATCCCCGCTGAGCTGGCAGCTCCGGGCGTTGCCAAGCAGCTCCCCCCTGGGACGCAGGGCACCTGCATCCTGCCCCGTGTGCTGCTGCTGAGCCTGGAGATGCTGAGGGAGCAGCTGCCGAGGCGGATACCGGGAATACGGCTGCGGCGGAGCTCTCCCAGCCCGGTGAGTGCCCCCCTGCACGGGCTATCG